CGAGCATTTGTGTGCTGTGGAGGTCACAATCAAAAAGTTATTCTTCAGTAATCCCTATGTTGCTGGTAAAGGCTCCGTCACTCCTAGAGCGGCAACTCATTTAAAAAGAAAATAGGACAGCAAAGGACTCTCTCTCATTTCAATCACAGTCTAAAGGCATCAAAATTAAAGAATTTCAACCCATCTGCAAAATGAAGGATGCAGAAACCATCTGATAATCTATAAATGTCAGTGCTGCCAGTAATCTCCACTGCAAATTGGGAGGCAAAGGTGCAGTGTGTTATCACTATACTAGTGAATCCAGAATGGCAAACCGATGTTCTGAGGACATGGGTTCAAATGCCACCACAAGTATTCTCCAGATAATGGGCAAACTATTAGGTTCATCCTCCATAAAAGACATCCAAGATAAACGATCTTCTAGCAGATAAATGGATCTACAAGAAAATCAGAATCAAGATCAACAGTTCTCAAGCCAAAATCTTACCAATCTTCCATGTCAGAACGAATTGTATTCTGGAACAATTGTGTAACTTTCAGACTGTTTTCATTAGTGAAGTCAGAAAATTAGGGAAAATGGTAACTGTAAAAGTAATTATATGTGTGAACATATAAATTGATAACTATGGGAAAAACTTCTGTGGAGAGATTTTGTATAAAGTAATGATTCTAAACAATTTATGGAGGACTAATTGTTGTTCCCATTCAAAGTGTTGTTCCATTTGAGCTTTGGTACTCTTGTTATTCTGTCCTGATGAGCGCAAGACGGAAAGCTTTCTTTGACAGCATCTTTCTTTTATTAGTAAAACACATGAAAAATAGATGTCAACGTTTATTTTGCGTGTTGCAAAATCTTGTAAAAACTCAGCTTCTTAAAAAAAATCGAGAAAGAACATTACAGAAATAACCACATTTGATTAGAAGATGTTACAAGCATATTCTATCCACATCTTTTCATCTCTTTGACATTTCCTTGAACATGACTGAATGTGAACCCTATTTCCAAAATTCTCCAGCTTCATGCAGCTGTTTACAAACTACAAAGACAATCGATACAATTGATTCTATCCTCTCACAATCTCTCATCCCATGTCCCACCATCTCCATTTCCCTGTCTGCCTCTCCGACTCTCTCCCATGACCTTTTTTGATTAGCCCTAGTTATTTCCATAGTGTTATACCCGTAATTCTTATAGATTTTCTCACAACTCCAACAAATCGCCTCAGTGACTCACAGACACAGCACATAAAAAGTAATGAAACCTATGTGGTTTACAAAAATTACCAGCAGTGCCACTAACACTGATTATTTCACAAAAATTTCATGTTCAAGTTCACCTTTCCTTTCAGAGTAATTTTTGAGCTTATTTTCCAAACTCTCAGAGTTTCATAAAAGACATATATTCTTTAACATACGTTATGCCATGGACTTACACAAGTACACTTTCAAACTGAGCACATCCCCAGAATCCCTGATTAATCAATCAGAGCATTTGACAAGATAGTCAATGAGGGCACTGATGGGCCAACCAATTAGGGCAGGGAAATACTGTCCAAAACTTTTCAGAAATGTAAAATTTACATCCAGGACAATATTTATCCCCTAATCAACATCATAGAAACTCATTTTCTGGATTATCACACTGCTTTTGTGGGAGTTTGCTGCGTGCCAATTAGCTGTCATATTTTCTACATTACAACAGTAACTAAACTACAATAATCTTACATTTAAATGGAAGCAACTAAAAAGGTGTGAGAGACAAGCTGCCTAAGATTTTTGGGTAAATTGACTTTAAAATACAGCAGTAAATGAATTGTGGGAAACATTTAAAGAAATGATTTGAACTGATAAATATTCATCCATGCTTTACTAGAAATGAAAGATGGTAGTACATTAAGAGGCTTATAATGTTACAGAAATTATAATACGTGAGGTTTGGAGTGTTTCGAATACCATCAAAGATTACCAAAGATTTTACAAAATAGGAAAAATAGAATGAGTAAACTAGCTAAGACTTTAAAAACATGTTGTTACAGCTTTTAAAAGAATATAAAATGAAAGCAAATAGTTAAAATAATAGTTGGTTCCACAGTAGCAGAAATGGCATGAATTATCATGGGGAATTTGAAAATAGTAGCACAATCATTTTGTGGCTGTCTTCACACAAAAGGTTAATACGCAGCTTAAGGTGGCTCATGGATTTTGGGGGTAGTAGATTAGCATGGAGAGCAGATTAGTTAACAGACAGGAAGCAGAGAGTAGGGATAAAAGGAACATTTTCAGGTTAGCAGACTGTAACTGATGGAGTACTGCAAAGATCAGTTCTGGGACATCAGCTGTTTACTATGAGATAGTAAGAACTGCCATTGCTGGAGTCAGAGATAACACAGTGTGGAGCTGATGGAACACAGCAGGCCAGGCAGCATCAGAGGAGCAGGAAAGCTGATGTTTCGGGAAGGGTCCCGACCCAAAACATCAGCTTTCCTGCTCCTCTGATGCTGCCTGGCCTGCTGTGTTCCATCAGCTCCAAGCAGTTTACTATTAATGGCTTAGGCAAGGATACAAGGAACCCCTCTTGATGTGTGGTAATAGTGTCCCTACCTCTGGAGCAGGAGGCCTGGGTTTAAGTCCCACCATTTCTGAACAGGTTGATTGGAAAGATAGATAGACAGAGATACAAGGGAGCTCTCTTGTGGCGCAGTGGTTGTGTCCTGCTGCGGGGCTAGGAATTCTGGGTTCAAGTCTCACTTGCTCCAGAGCTGTGTAATCACATGTTTGAGTAGGTTGATTAGAGACTATCTAAACAGACTCAGGGAGCAATATGTCTAAATTTCCTGATGATACAGAGCTAGGCAGGAATGCAAGCTTAGAGATACAGACAGGTTGAATGGGTAACATGGTGGCAGATGGAGCATAATGTTGGTAGGTGTGAGGTTACTCACTTTGACCATAAGGGAACATTTTTTAAAATTACGAAACCTGTTGATGTTCGACGAGACTGAGATATACCTATACAATTAGAAAGCCAAATGACATTTTGACCTTTACTTCAAATGGATCGGAGTACAAGAATAAGTCTTGTTACAATTGTACAGGGTGTTGGTGAGATGACACCTGGAATACCGTGACTCCATAAGGAAGGATATATTTGGAGACAATACAGTGAAGGTTCACTTGATTGGACAACATGTTCGCCCAAAGAACCAATGATAAGTGGCTGACTAAATTGGGTCTATATTATCTGGAGATAAGAATAATGAGGCGTAACCTAATTCTAAAACATCCAAGATTATAAAGGGCTTGACAGAATAGACATTGTGATATTGTTTGCCCTTGCTGGAGAATCTACAACAATAAGGCCAAGTTCCAGGATAAAGCCCCTATCATTAGGACTGAGACAAGGAGAAATTTCTTCATGCAAAGATGTACAAACATTTACAATTCTTTCTCCAGAGAGTTGACAATGTACAGTAGGTGGATATATTTAAGACTGAGATGATTTGGTTTTTAGCCTTTGAAGGGTAGGGAAGTCCAAAACTTGAGGAGATAGGTTTAAAATGAGAGGGGAAACATTTAAAAGTGACCTAAGGGGCAACTTTTTCACTCAGAGGGTGATGTGTGTATGGAATGAGCTGCCATAGGAGGTGGTAGAGACTGGTAATTACAACATTTAAAAGGCATCTGGATGGGTAGATGAATAGGAAGGGTTTCGAGGGATATGGGCCAAATGCTGGCAAATGGGACGAGATTAATTTAGGTTATCTGGTCGGCATGGATGGGTTAGACCAAAGTGTCTGTTTCCATGCTGTACATCTCTATGACTCTAAATCAAAGGATTTAGGGAGCGTCTGGAAAATGAAGCCTAAGATCAGGGTGATCAACCATTCCAAATTTTAAAAGTAATTGAGGCCACCCGAGGATGTTTGATGCTAGGATACCCATTGTGAACTTTCTATTTTGGCGATTGTTCTCCTTTCTGGACTCACCTCATCCACATCCACATCCAGCAGCTTACCAGCAACCTCTGATCCCTCCCACATTTGCACATCTGGACAGCACTCCCTACCCCCACTGACCCCGAGAGTCATTTCAAAGCTTCTTCCCTCCGAGTTGAACTCCTTGGCCAACCTCAATTGTAACCAAAAACAGCAATTTCTGTAGAAGAGATAGCAGGAACTGCAGAAGGGTCTAGGCCCGAAACGTCAGCCTTCTTGCTCCTCTGATGCTGCTTGGCCTGCTGTGTTCATCCAGCTCTACACCTTGTTGTCTCAATTTCTGTAGAAACTCAGCAGATCTGGCAGCATTTGTGTAGAGGAAACCAAGTCAATGTTTTGACTGCAGTGACCCTTCTTCAGAACTGGTAGCATCTAGGAAAAAGTGGTATGACAGGGTGTTTTCCTTTTCCCCTTTGGGCTCAGCATCCACTTATCAGGTAATCACCGCCCGCCCCAGTTATTAGCATAAAATACCACAATTTCTTAGATGCTATCCGTTCTGAAGAAGTGACTAGACTCGTAATATTAACTCTGTGTTCTCACCACAGATGCTGCCCTGTTGAATCTCTCCAGCAATTTGAGGGGTGGTGTGGGGAGGCCGGATGGTGGTTGTAAGCAGGTAGGTGGAGACTGAGCCCAGGGTGACAGGAATATACCCTCTGTCATCAGCAACAATACTATTTTTCTTCTGTTTATCTGTCTTCTGTCCACAGATGCTGCCAGACCTGCCGAGTTTCTCCAGCCATTTCTGTTTTTGTTTCAAATTTCTAGCCTCTGCAGTTCTTTGTTTTGTCAGCAATGATCGTATTGATTGGCAGAGCAGGAGCCCCTTACTCTTCTCTTGTTCCTACTTCTGATGTGTTCAAAAGTACGCGACGGGCGATGATGCGCGTTGGGAAGGGGTGCGAGGCGAATGCATGTTTTTGTTGTCACTGACAACCCGGCGCCTTCCCGGAGGGAGACAGTCCAAGGGACGTGAGCGGAAGTCCGCGCAGGCGCCGTGTGTGTGGCGCGGGGGCCGACGGGAGGCTCAGTTCCAATATGGCTGAAGATCCTGGGGGAGTGACTTTTATTCACTCAATCACTTTCTCTTTTTTTTCCCTTTCTCCTGCCGGTTCCGCAACATGGAAGAACTCTCGATAACGTGTTTTGGTCTCGTGTTGCCGTCGCCATGCCAAAGAAAGGGAACAGAAAACGGCTGAAATACCGCGGGAACATTTCTTCTGAAACAGGTTGAGAGAAAGCAAATTGAAGGGTTGCGGGGGGTGGGTGGGGAGAGTGGAGGATGCAGCCAAACCTGCTGGCGCGGAGTGGGCAGGGTAATGCGATAATGTGTCTCCATTGGTTTTGACTGGTGTCCATTGTCCTCCGAGGTTTCCGATTGGACAGAGGAGCCGACAGTCAGGGAGCTGAGCTCTTGTCAAGTTCGGTTGCGCCTTTGGTTGCAAAGCCCAGGGCAGATCCCTGCTGGGCTCATGGGTCTGAGAAACAATCACAATCCGAGACAGCAAGCAGCTGTCATCACTAAGTGGATTCGTCTGGCAGTGGACTGTACTGCCTGTGCCGGGAAATGCTCTGGAGAGAAGCTGCCCGCCCGATTTCCGCACCGGACACAATCTCCACGAAGTCACCCTTTGAGGAGAGAGTCAGGCGTAGCTTCACAAAGAAATAATGAGCTGGAAATGTATAGGAGACCTGGCAGTATCTGTGGAAGGAAGGATATGAAGATAATTTTAGGTGAAATCAAATGGCAGACGAAAGTGGTATCGAGACCCTAGATATACGAGCAGAATTAGGTAGTCTGGCTCATCGAGCCCACTCCACTGTTCCGTCATAGCTGATATGTTTCACAACTCCATTATCCTGCCTTCAGTGAATTTTGGGCATGACATGATGTTTAACTCTTCCATTGCCTTTGCCCCACTTTTTTGTACAAGACTCCACTTCCCCAACTCTGAGATACCTTCAACCACGTCTAACACTCTCCTTCCACCTGAACCCCTTCCTCTGGCCTTTTACCTACACTCAACCTGTTCGTTGAGAACTGTCAACATTGATGGCCTGAATTTCTCTGCCTCCCTTGCCCATTTGAACTTATCTCCCTCTGACTGCACTCATGCTCTCAGATCCAACCTTGATTGCTAGACTGTGGACGTTGAGTGCCAACTTTTGAATACCTCCTTCTGTCTTGCTCTGGACCATGACCCCATCAATAAACAATAGGCCATTGTGTCCGCAATGGTTACACGTTTTATTTGGGGATTTTCCCCCAGCACCACCACCACCACCATGATCTCCCCGCAGACTCCAAACATGTATTCCCCAACCCTGTAAAGCCTGCTTTTACCTTCTTCCCAAAATCCAAAAACAGAACTGCCTGGGCAGACCCATTGTTCCAGCCCCAGGAACTTATATCTTTGAACCTTGACTCAATTTTTTTCTCCCTTTATCCAGTCCCTTTGCATTTTAAGTCCATGATTTTTCTGATGCTTCAGATCAGTTTCAGAATTCCCTGTTCACAGGCACCATCTGCCTCCTCTTCACCATGGATGTGTAATCCCTTTACACGTTCATCCTCCATTAAGATAGTTTTGGGATGTCTCCACTTCTTCCTGGAATAAAGGCCTCAACCGTCCCCATTCGCCACCACCCTCCCCTAGCTGGCGGAGCATGTCCTCGCTTTGAACAACATATCCTTTAACTTCTCTCATTTTCTTGAGATCAAAGGTGTGGATACCCACATAGGCCCCAGTTACACCTGTCTCTTTGTGGGGTATGTGGAACATTCCTTCTTCTAATCCTACTGAGCTACCTCCTGACAACTATTTCTCGGGCATATCAATGACGTCATTGGTGCTGCTTCCCACTCTTATCTAGAATTGGAAAAAATCAATTTTGCTTCCGGTTTCTACCTTGCTGTCAGCTTAACCTAGTCTATCTCTGACTCCACCATTCCTTGCCTCAACATCTTGGTTTCCATTCTTGGGGATAGGCTGGCCACAGATATCCACTACAAACCCAATGATTCCCATCGTTACCTGGATTGTACATCCTCACACCCTGTTTCTTGTAAAAACTCCCTTCCACTCTCCCAGTTTCTCCATCGCTGTTGCACTTGTCTGTTACCACTTTCTGCAGGCTGGGGGGGGAGGCACCTCAGAAATATTCAACTTTTTCCTCAACTGTGTATTCCCCACCACCGTGGTTAACAAGGCCCTTAGCCGTTGGAGAGGGCCTGTGTTCTGACTGCAAAAATGACTGAGTTTCCAGTTGCCAGCCACTTCAATGCACCAGTGTTTTCTGACCAACATTTCGGTCTCTGCTGAGCCCTACTGGAACACTGCAGCAGGCCAAAAGCTGGAAAAACAGCATTTCATTTTTCACTTGCCTCCCTTGCCAACCTCGGGACTCAATATTGAGTTAATTATTTTAGAACCTGAACACCACCTTCCATGACCTTATCCACTCCCCACACCTCAGGCCCTGTCATGACATAGGCTGCTTTTACCATAGTCATTCAGTTTTCACTTATGTCCGCAATGTTAGGCTTCTGTGAAAGACTTTGAGACTTTTTACTCCATTAAAGTTGCTATATATTGTTAAGTGATTTATGTATCATTACCTTAGCCAACACTATTTTTGTGTTCTCAGGTAGTGAGTGCTGAAAATAGATAACTTGACATTTCTATATTGGGTGACACAAATGAGATCAACAACTTGTTTTATGATCGTGATTTAATATTAAATTATCCCAGATTGACTCCACAGTTTACATTGTTAGCCTCTTTTTCTCCTTGACTTACCATTATCCATCCCTTTGCCCCAAGTGTCTCTGGCCTCAGTTTCACTCTCGCTCTTGTTCTGTTTCCCCACCCCCCCCCCTCCCTCGCTTGCTTGCTCGCACTCTGTCTCTGCCCCCCACCTACCTCCTTCAGCATTATACCACTTTTCCTGGCTACAATCAGTTCTGAAGGAGGGGAATTGGACCTGAAATGTTAACTCTGCTTTCTCCCCACAGATGCTGCCAGACCTGCTGAGTTTTTTTTTGTTTTTGTTTTCCTTGGCTGTGCCTTGAGTTATTTAGAACCTAAACTCTGGATATCTGTCCCTTTACTTCACTTTCCCTCACACTCTCTCTTCCTTAAGGAATTCCTTAAAACTCATCTCTGATCATGTTTTTTGCGTCCTATCCTAATATTTCTATGATAAACAGGGTCAAAGTTTGCCTGATATGGCTTCTGTGAAGGGCTTTGAGACTTCTACTGCATTAAAGGTGATATATATTGTTAGCTAATTTATGTATGGTTGCCTAGCACAACACCACTTGTGTGTTCTCAGGTGGTGAGTGTTGGAAATGGACAACTTGACGTTTCTATTTGAGCGACACAAATAAGATCAAAAAAGTTTTATGATTATGATTTAATATTCAATTATCCTAGGCTGACTCCATGGTCCATTGTCAATTACTAATGTATATTCTATAAATTGAATTAAATTGTTGACACAGTCAAGGAGTTCTGATGCCAAAGATATAAAAGCAGTGTTTCTGCAGTACTGATATTCCCTGTTTTAATACAGTTCTACATTCAGTTTACGTCTTTCAGTTTCATGTTTTTTGTTGGAAGGAAGATTGAAATTGTGGTATTGATGTAGTCAGACAAGATTCCATTTAATTTTTAAAATCAACATCAACATCATTGAATGTGATCATCTCGAAGTGAATATCTACATATTTCTGATACCTTTTCTGAACTTTCCCCTTTAATACTGAAATGTTCAGCTTAGATAGTTTTATTTTAACTCTATAGTAGAAGATTGCAGCAAAATTCTTTGGATCATTAGTTTGGATGCTGTTTAAATAGAAGGAGAGGGTTGCTCTTTCTCTTACTCTAAAATGAATCCCTGCAATTGCAACTATTAAAACTGTTAAGTACTGGCATTTTCTAGATTATGGTTAGGGTGGTCTGCATAATTAATGAATACTTGATTATCAGTGATGGACTGATTTAATACCTTTGACACAAAAAATCACTTTCATTTTCTGTGATATTCAATTTTTGTTAATGATGCCTCTGCATTTATCTGTCTCTTAAGAAATAAATACTGATTTCACCAATTGGTGAGAGATACAAAGATGAGGCACAGACCGTTTGACAGAACCGTATGAGACTTTGGGGGGAAAAAAGATTGGTACTCTTCCAAATCCATTCTCCTATTCTGCAAACTTCATTGAGAGCCTCAGTTACACTTAGAATTGTATTGACAGCAGATAGTGTTTGATTTTGCATTTTCATTTCGTATATTTATTACAGTTTAAATGTTAACTTTTGTTTCCCACTCCAGTTACTGTGGCAGATTATGCCGATTCAGATCCAGCTATCGTGAAGACTGGTAGAATAAAGAAAGCTGTAGCGAATGCAATTCAGAAAGAAGGTTGGTTTGTATGAATATTTTTCAAAATATTATTTAAGATTTTGTCAAACCTCTAACTTTTTAATCTATAGTTTTAGATTCGACACATTCTGGTTCTATTCATTAAACTTGGTAAAACGTAATAACTAAATAAGTTATCTTGGTCAATAGCTTTGTCACATAGTTGTACAGTAATTCTTAGACTGCAAGCAGATTAGTCACATGATTGTTACAGGCTACATGTGCAAAAGTGAACAAATTATCTAGTCTTCTACATTTTAAGAAAGAGATATTTTCCCCTCCAATTAAATGTCTATCATTTAGCGTTCTATCAAAGCATATATGCAAGGCATGTTACAGTCTAGAAACCTTTCATTTATATAGATCTAGCATATCCTCAAGATATTCCAAAGTGTTACATTGTCTGTAATGCTGTCACTTTAGTAAGAAAGAAATCACGGCAGCCAGTTTGCATAAATCCAACTTCCACAAATAGCCATGATATGAGTGACTACATAACCTGCTTTATTTTTATTGTGCATGCTATATTGACCAAAGCATTAGGAGAATTGCCTTTTTCTCCTGAAATAGTGCCATGGGATTTTTTTTGTATGCACCTGAGGAGGCAGTTAGAGCCGGTATTTAATATCTCAATCAAAGCATGACATTATCCGGTACTTTTAATTTTGTGGTTGTGTTAATCTGAGCAATGTGCCTGAAGCTTCTTGATTGGGCTTGAATTTATGGTCTTCTCATAGGGGTAGAAATACACTTCGCATTGTTGAATGACCAATGTGGTTCACCATTTGTTTAAAGCCATCTTAGCTCAATTCATTGCTTGTACTCGAATAGGTTGCAGTTCTGTAAGAATTTCTTGTGCTTTTTCTTCCCCCTAAAACAATGTTAAAACCAGGAATTTTTGGTGTAGGGCATAATGGTTGTATTCAGTGTATTAGGGTATATCATAGTGGTTCATGTAAATTATTAACTGTAGAATTGTTTTGTTGCTTGTTGAGCAGTCCTCAGTGCAGGCACCTCAATCTTGAGACAGCTTAGAGAGGGCTCTTGAAGTTCGACAGTGGAAGAGAGAGTCTCTTGTACTGAAGTAGTCCAATGTGTACTTTCAATTCTTACACTAACCATATGAAACCTGCAAGTTCTAAGTAGATATGAGTAGTGTAAGGATTAGATACGAAGACAGTAGCATAGTGGTAGAGTCAGATGATAGGATCAAATTCCAGAGACCCAAGCTAATGCTGTAGCTACTGGAATTTAAATTCAACTGATAAAATTTTAGAAAAGTAAGTTAGTCAAAATAATAGTCTACCTAATGCCATCCACCGATTGTCATAAAAATTCATCTGATTTGCTATCCTTGCTTGAAAGGAAATCTGCCATCCATACCTGGTCCAGACTATAAGTGACTTTAATCATCTTTGGAAATGGATGGACAACAAGTACTGGCCTTGCTAGTGACATCCAAATGGCATCCAAAAAAATAAATGTAAAATAATCACAAAGTGGAGAATGTAATTTCATGGATTGCAATTGCTCAACAGAAGTGCACACATTATTTGAAGGACGGAAAATCATCTTAATACATGTGATCCGAGTGCTAGTCTTGGTTTCATTTAATAAAAAGTTGTGCTCATGATAAAGTAACTCCTGTTGAAGCTCTTCATTTTGTATTTAGCAGGAGTAACACAAGACTATTAAATCAACACTGCATGTGAATAGTCTGTAGATTTGTGGGCAGATGGATTCTGGTTGAAGCAGTGCCATGGAATATTTGTTCCTTTCTCCTTTGTTTAACTTGTAAAAAGGCAAGTTTTCTTTGGTTGAGTTGTTGGCATGGGGAATGCACAAGGGATCAGTTATTCCCAATACTTTTGTTTAATTGACAAAGGCTTAATGCCCGGAAATACTCTGTTTGCAGAGTCTGCAGTGTCTGAATATATGTAGCATCTAACAAGTGTAAGTGTGTCCTATGGCAACCCAAACTGATGATACTAAATTAGATGTTAGTGTCATTCTTGGCATGTACTGGAGTGGTCAGTCGGTGTTGCCCAATCACACCATTGTATTTAATGTTGGATGCAGTATTCTGGACTTTTGCAAGCATACAGTGTTTGGGTACAGTGTGTACTTCTGCAAACAGAATGAATATGTGAAGGCATTATGCTTTCTTTTTTAGTCAATCAACAATATGTGGACAATATTTCCTGGTGAATTCCTCATGGCAGAGCCATAATCAGTCCAAGTTGACTTTCTTTTTTTGATTTTAAAGCAAAGTTTGGCAGATGTCTGTTCTCTAGCGTATTCTCTGTGGTGACACTTCAGCCAATCAGCACCAACTTATCAACCAAACAGCACCTTTTTCTCCTAAGTATATTTGCCGTTCCCGTTGAAATTTGGAACTCTTGCATATATCCTGATGAATGCAAGAAAAACAGTGCCCACGGCATATCTCTCTTTCAACAATACTCAATAATGTTCGAGCCTGGTAACCAAAAAAATTACAAAGCTCTTGACAGAGTCAAGCTGATGGTTACTGCTTTAGATTCATAGTACATTTGAGCAAAAGGTCCTGAGGACTTGTGCAACTTTAATGTTGACAGTGCACTCAAAGGTAAAAATGTTATAGAAACATCGAAAATAGAAGCAGGAGTAGCCCATTCAATATGATCGTGGTTGATCATCCAACTCAGTACCCTCTTCTCACTTTCTCCCCAGACCTTTTGATCCCTTTATCCCCAAGAGCTGCGTTGAATTCTTTTTCTTAAACATTCAGTGCTTTTGCCTTAACTGCTTTTTGTGGCAGTGAAGTACTCAGGCTCACCAATCTGGATGAAGAAATTTCTTCTTGTCTCGACCCTAAGTGGCCTACCCCATATCCTTAATCTGTAGTTCCCTGAATCGGAACTCCTTGGTTAGTGGGGACATCCTGAATTTATCTTGATCCGATGCAAGTCTGCTTATAAGTTCCTGTTTGAGTGGATGAACATTTTACATGGTGTAATTTGAATGGAAGACCTGGCTTAAATAGGTATCACTCAGGATTTCCTTTATATGTAGGCTTCGATCTGTGGACTAAATCTGGTACTGAACAAAAGATTAGAAAGCAGATGTGAAGTAGAAGTTTTAATTGCAGTTCTATGTAAAAATCTAACAGTTTTTTTTAACTATAGAGTAAAACTGTTAAATTTCAGTTCACTGAAAATATCAGTTATAGTGCCTTATAAATTTGTAGATGATAGAGTTTCTTTTGAATGTACGTTTTACTAGCAGGTCTAATAACTAGTTGTATAAGATTGCATTTTAAATCTTGTGTTTTAAATACATAAAATCTGCCAATATTTTATAATTTATAATTATGTTTCCTGTATAGAATTATGTTTATTTAAGTTGGTATCAAAATTCCTTAGGGAAAAAATGTATACAAACCAATCTCCTTCAATTGAATTGTAATATCTTTAATTTGTGTATAAATGTTGCACCAGTGTCTGTCCTTTTAACCACTGAAATTTTAGCATCTCTGGTATTTTCAAGGTTCTATTTGCAGACTGAACCAAGGGCAAGACAGGGAGTCCTCTAGAATTAAGCTCTTGGATACTTTAAGAGTCAATATGGTTAAGACACAAAAAAGGAATACTGTCTTTATCACTAAAATTGATATTAACTATTGGTGACACTGCTAGCTTTAATCAGATCACTTGTACGTTTAAAAACATTTTGCATGAAAAAATTAGTCATAAACTCTGGGAAATGTCATGTTTATACAGTTTATTGATGAGTGAATACCAATAATTTAGTGGTTTTATTTCAGTAAAGTTATTGTGTGGTTTGGAAGCTTCTCAAGTCCCTGTGACAGAAGAGGCTCTTTCCTCTGCTTCTGTGGATCGTTTGGACTGTGACAGCAGTGATGAAGTAGATGTTGATGGCCACTCAAATGAGTTGAAGGTTTCTAGGAAGAAGAAAAGCAAAAGACAGCAAGGTAATTCACTGTCATTGCAACAGCAAATTATAAACAAAGCTAGAAATTTGTCTAAAACTTTTGATGCTATACTTTCAATTAAAATTAATATTTTTCCCTTTTGTCGTACACTGTATGCAATATATTGCTATTTGAAAGGAACTGTTAGCTTGACTGCCCAAAGCTGCCTGATCCACTATTGTGTATGTTTTACAAATCGCATATACATGGGTTTCCTCCTCCTCTCCGGTCTCGCAACACACTTGTGGTAAGCAACAGACATAGGAAATACACTTTATACACACAGCAGAATATAGGAGTTACATGGGGTTTCTTTCTGTTTAACTAACCCTCCTTTCTATGTCTTCCATTGCGTGTCTCATAGATAAACACACATTTCACAGATAACTTTATCTAACTCCTTCATGATGGAGTACATAATAAATAACTACTTGGTAGTACCAAACTTAAACATTGCTATAGGGAGATAAGACGTTGAAGCTTTAACCCGTCATGTGCTTGTTAAAAATGGGACCCGAGAACAGACTTAAATAAAATGATGTTTTTTTTCAGCATGAGAAAGAATGTGCTGATTGATTGGGTCATTGTTGGCATGGAGATGAAGCAAGAATAGTTAACCTGTTGATCTTAATTCTCAGATCAGGCAGGTAGATTCTGATTGGTCAGGGTGATGACATGGAGATGCAGCAGAGTTTGACTGTCTCCTTGATCTTTCTTATTGAAAAACATGCCATGAATGTACAAATTCCTTTAGCCTACGTAAAACAGTTCTGAATATTTATTTATGTAGCTGCAGGCTGATGATCTTAAATTGGCTTCTGTTGTAACTCTTAGCACAGTCTGGATTATTTAATACATGATTTTCACGAGCAGAATTGTGCCTAATGGTGGATGTACTTTTCTGAGACTTACAGGCGTGGACTCATTGACAATGAATGGCATGCTGCCAGCTGTGAATGATCAATGGGAAATATTTTGTGTTATGGTCCGCCAACTTTGGGATGTGAGCCTTCAAACCTAGCATCACACCAGCACTGAAATTTGTACTACATGACACATTTGTGTGGAAGGCAAAACATACTTTGGTTTAAAGGTTTTGAGAAGATTTGTAGCTTGGATTGTGAGTGAAGTTGTAGACTTGCTTGCCAAGCCAGTGTGTTTGATTTGCAGATGTTTCGTTGCCCTGCTAGGTAACCTCATCAGTGCGTCACCGGTGAAGTGTTGCTGTTCTGTCCCGCGTGTTATTTATATGCCTCGGTTTGCTGGGGCGGTTGTCATGACATCCAGTTCTGTTTTTCAGTGGTTTGTATATTGGATCCAGTTCAATGTGTCTGTTGATGGGGTTCCAGTTGGAATGCCAGGTCGCCAGGAATTCCATGGCATGTCTCTGTTTGGCTTGTGCTATTATGGATGTGTTGTCCCAGCCAAATTCATGTCCTTCTTTGTCTGTGTGTATTGAGACCAGTGAGAATTGGTCATGTCTCTTGATGGCTAGTTGGTGTTCATGTATCCTTATTGTCAGTGTTCTTCCAGTTTGGCCAATGTAATGTTTCTCACAGTCCTTGCATGGTATTTTGTATATTACATTAGTTTTATTGATTGTGGGTATGGGTTTGTTTATGTTCATCAGTAGCTGTCGCAGGGTGTTTATTGGTTTGTGGGCTACCCTGATGCCTAGGGGTCTGGGTAGTCTTGTGGTTATCTCTAGTATGTCTCTGATGTACGGTAGGGTGACTAGTGTGTCTGGCTGTGTTCTGTCTTCTTGTTGTGGTCTGTTGCGGACGTAATGGCAGGTTGTGATTTTTGGGTATCCATTTCTTTTAAAAACTCCACATAAGTGCTCCTGTTCTGTTTTGCGCTATTCCAGATTGCTGCTGTGTATTGTGGCTTGTTTGAATAATGTCCTGATGCAGTTCCATTCATGGGTGTTGGGCAGTTGCTGGTGTAATTAGGTATCTGGTCCATATGTGTGGTCTTTCTATATACGCTAATCTTTAGTTCCCTGTTGTTCATACATTCTACCAATATGTCTAGGAAGGGTAGTCAGTTATTGTTCTCCTCTTCTCACCTGAATAAAATTCGCAAAAGAATGTCGATTTATGTGTTGTTAAGTTTCTTCTAGTCTTGCACATTTGATAATCACGAAGATGTTATGTACATCGCAGACCCACAGTTTGGGTTGCATAGTGGTGAGTGCTGTCTGTTTGAGCCTTTACATTACCGCTTCTGCAATCAGGCCTGATATTGAGGGTTCCATTGGTGTTACGTTGATTGTTTAAATATACAGTCGTTGAAGGTGAAGTGGGTTGTGAGGCTCAGATCCAGCAGTTTCAGGGTCCTGTCCTTGTTGATGCTGTTGGTGTCGAGGGGCGCCTGCCTTCCTGATTCGTCCAGCAGGGTGGCAATTGTCTCTTTGGCTAGGTCGATGTTTATGGATGTAAATAGTGCTGTAACGTCGAAGGATGTCAGAATCTCATCCTCGTCTATTCTGGTGTCCTTGATGTTGAGGAGTTCTTGGGAGGAGTGGGTGGAGTGGGTAGCGTTGTCAACTAAGTATTTCAGTTTCTGTTGTATTTCTTTGGCTAGTCTATATGTTGATGTGCCTGGTAGTGAGACAATGGGTCTGAGGGGTACCCCATGTCTTGTGTACCTTAGGGATTCCATAGAAGTGGGGTGTGTTGGATCCCTCTGGTTTCATTTTTTGATAGTCTGTCTTGCTGATATCTCCTGAGTTGTGTAATTTCTTCAGGGTTGTTGTAATCTGGTTCTCTAACTGTGGCATTGGGTCTGTCGCCATCTATTGATAGGTGTCAGTATCTGTAGTAGTGCATTAGCTTTCTTGATGTATTAGGCTCTATTAAGGATTACTGTCATGCATCTTTTGTCCGCCGGTAAGATTCCGATGTTTCTGTCTTTCTTCAGTCTTTCCAGGGTTTCTGCTCTTCTGTGTTGAATGTGTTACACTTTTCTGCTCAGTGTTGGGATTAGTGTACAGACCAGCTACTTAATTACGCCAGCAGCCACCCCAACACCCATAAACAGAGCTGCACCAGGACTTATTCAAATGAGCCACAACATACTACAGCAACCTGGAATTATGCAAAACAGATCAGAAGCACTTATACGGAGTTTTTAAAAGGAATGGATACCCAAAAAGCACAATCCGCCGTTAACTCCAACAAGGAGCCATACTAGTCACCCTACCGTAAATCAGAGACCTATTGGACATGACCACAAGACTACTCAGACCCCTAGGTATCAGGGTCGCCCACAAACCAATAACCACCCTTAATCAGCTACTGACAAATGTAAACGATCCCATACCCACAACCAATAAAGCAAACATAATATACAAAATACCATGCAAGGACTGTGAGAAATATCACATAGGCCAAACTGGAAGAACACTGTCAATAAGGATACACGAACACCAAGTAGCCACCAGGAAACATGACCAATTCTCTCTGGTCTGAATACACACGGACTAAGAAGGACGCAAATTCGACTGGGAAAACTCATCTATTATAGCACAAGCCAAACAGACTTGCCAGGGAATTCCTAGAGTCCTGGCATTCCAACCAGAACTACATCAACAAACACATTGAACTGGACCCAGTATACAAGCCACTGAAAAACAGAACTGGAAGTGATGCAAACCATCCCAGCAAACCGAGGCATGTAAATAACAAGCGGGACAGAACACCAATGCTTCACCAGCGGCGCACTGACTATGTTACCTAACAGGGTGACAAATCGTCGGCAGTGAAACACACTGGCTCAGCAAGCAAGTTTACAACCTCATATTTTGGCTTGACAGTTTTCAGTAAGTGGAGAAAACCACTCGTGAATTTGCTGCAAAGTAGCAGCTTGTGACACCTAGCTTCACCTGTGGTTCAAATTTTTGAAACATCTTCCTCTTCCAAGGTAATCTGAAGTAAACTGGACACCGGTCAATGCCAGCAGTGATCGTGTAGGCCCTTTCTGGTGTTTTCATATTAAACAAGTGAAGATTTAGTCAAGGTATCCATTATCAGGCAAGGATACTGTTGATATGCCCAATCTCAGTGACAAGCTTACACATCAAGCAAATTACTAAAGCACTATTCACGAGATCACCAATAAGATAGATCTTGTAACGTCATATTCCTAACTGGTCAGCACCCTCTTTTCATGCTGTTTAAAATAGTGTCTTTTTTTTCCCAAGTATTTTTCTTGCATCAGTTCTGAGAAAGGGTCACTGGACCAGAAACGCTAACTCTGATTTCTCTTCAAGATGCTGCCAGCTGAGCTTTTCCAGCAACTTCTGTTTCTGATCCTGATTTACAGCATCTGTGATTCTTTCGACTATCAACTACTGTTGTAAGGCTTGCGATATGCATTACGATAAACAGCTGAACTCTGATCTTGTGCAGTGTAAAATACAAGGAAATGTTGCAGTGTAGCATGCTGCACCACCTGATTGCAATGACATCATTGAGTAATACGTTTCTACTTGCTGGAATGAGCTGATGTTTTCTTCCCCTTCCTCAACAGAGAATGCTGAGGACTGTGGGCAGCAGTACCCTATAGATATTTGGTTATTTCTGGCCTCTTACATACGACCTGAGGATGTTGCCAAGTTTGCTCTAATTTGTAAAAATGCTTGGACTGTTACCTGTACTGCTGCTTTTTGGACCAGGTTATACAGAAGGTAAGAAGCATTGATTTCTTTTTTGTTCTCTGGACTGTTGCTAATTGTGGAGACTGATTTCTGTGAAGTTGTTACTACAGGGACACATGTATGTAGGGATTTGCTTTTTAAATTGGAATTTATGTACGCAATCTGAACAACAACTACAACCATTTATCAAAGGCTTACAAAACAAATCAAGTTGAAGTTTCAGGTGCACTTGTAAATTGTCTGCATCGGTTTGTTGTTGAATATTTGTGCTAGAAATCATAAATGCAACCCACAGTGAAGAGATGCTCAGCTCTGTCTTTCCACCATTTTCTAAACCTTAAGATTGCTGTGGGGGGTAATTATCAAATATTATGTTGTTGATGAATAAATATTTCTCTGGATTGCACATTGGCAAGACTGAAGCCAATCCTTTTCTGTCCACCCCTAAATGTCAGTACTGCCTTTATATTGGATACCCTCGTTCATTTTTATTTGAAATAATCTGTGAGAAATTACAGCTCCACTTCCTTCAGTACAAAATTGAATTTCAAATCCTAGATCACAAACACCTTCACAACTTTTGTCCATTTTACCTACTGTTGCCAAAATCACAAGGCGTTTTGCATGCTTGCCTTCTTTGCCCAGTCTTTTGAACATAGGAATTGGGAAGTCATGTTGAGGTTGAACAGACATTGGTGAGGCCTTTTCTAGAATACTGTGTCCAGTTCTGGTCGCCCAGTTATAGGAAGGATATCATGAAGCTAGAGAGGGTTCAGAAGAGATTTACTAGGATGTTGCTGGGTATGGAAGGTTTGAGTTATTAAGAAAGGCTGGATAGCCTTGGACTTCTTTCACTGAAGCATAGGAGGTTGAGAGGTGACCTTATAGAGGTTTATAAAATCATGAGGGGTATAGATAGGATTAATGGTAGGTGTCTTTTCTCTAGGATGGACAATTTCAAGACCAGGGGCCACATTTTTAAGGTGAGGGGAGAGAGATTTTAAAAAAGACATGGGGGGCAAATTTTTTACACAGAGGGTGGTTTGTATGTGGTATAAACTTCCTGAGGAAGTGGTGGACATGGTCACAGTTACAATGTTTAAAAGACACTTAGATAAGTACATGAATAGGAAAGGTTTGGAGGAATATGGGCTAGGAGTAGGCAGGTGGGACCAGCTTAGTTTAGCATTATGTTCAGCACGGACTGGTTGGACCAAAGGGTCTGTTTTCATGTAGTATTGCTCTATGATTCTGCACCTGGATGGTTTCTCTGTGACTGCCTTGGTGTGCACTCCCCCCAAAATTCCGACATATTGAGAATCCTGCCTATGCATTCTAATGAGCATTAACTGCCACATGACTGTCACTCCAATCCTTACTGACTACTCTGACTTTCTTACAGTATCTAGAATTTAAAATCACCAAATGATCACAACCCTCCGAGCTTTGCGTGAATAAAACAAAGAACTGCAGATGCTGAAGTTCTGAAACAAAAACATACATTGCTGGAGAAACTCGGGTTTGCCAGCGTCTGTGGAAAGAAAGGAGAATTAATGTTTTGAGTCCAGAGTCTATCCTATTCTGACCATTCCACCTTCCGCAGGAGGCCTCGGAAATATCCAACTTTTTCCTCATTTGAGGATTCCCCACCACCTTGGCTGACAGGGCCCTTAGCTTTGTCTCAGCTGGTGGTTCAGGCCAGAGCGAGAAGCTGCTCAGGGAGCTGCCCCTCTCCCTCCCTCCAGCGGCATTTGCTGATTCAGAAGATGTATATGATTAGCCTTTGACAGTTTTGTCTGTTTAAGGTTTGGCTGTTCTGTCTGTTGGGAAAGGATATGGAGCATGTGGAAATAGAAAAGAGAAGATCATGGAGAAATTTGAAAAGAGGAATGGAATTTTAAAATTGAGGCAGGGCTGAACAGGGACTTTAGATTGTTTCTGTATGTTTGTCAGTGGGATGTGGGCAGTGCTGCCATGGACCATGTCTGTGATCTTTGACTGCCCAATACAGAGGGGATCAGGCAAGTCATTAGTTGTTCTCCTGGAGCTGCTGTCTATTAATTTAGGAAGGGTGAAATCATGTTTGACAAAACTACTGAAGTTTTTTTTTAGGAAGATGTAATTGGTAGAACCAGTTGATGGAGTCATTTGGATTTCCCAAAAGCATTTAATAAAGTCCCACTTGAGGTTATAGTGCAAAGTGTAAGTACACAGGAATATTTGGTGTGGATTGGGAATTGGTTAGCAGACAGGAAACAGAGAGTGGAAATAAATGAATCTTTTTCAGAATATTAGGCTTTGACAAGTAGGGCACCACTAGGATCAGTACTATTGGACACCAGCTATTCAAAGTATGCATCAACGATTTGGATAAGGGAATCCAATATAATAGTTCCAAGTTTGTTGACACAAAACTAGGGGGATTGTGAGTGAGCAGGACAAAAAAAGGCTTCAGGGTGACTTAGACAATTTGAGTGAATGGCAGATCAGTGTGAAGTTGTCTACTTTGGTAGAAAATTCAGAATGGCACAGTGTAATTTAAATGGTGGTCGATTTGGAAATGTTGGTGTACAAAGGGACCTAGGTGTGCTTGTACACCAGTCATTCAAAGCATGCATGTCGGGGCAGCAAGCAGTTAGGAAGACAAGTAGAACTTTGTCCTTCATTGCAAGAGGTTTTGAATGCAGGAGCAAGGAGGCCTTACAGCAGCTGTTTAGCATTTTGTGAAGCTACATCTGGAGTCTGTGAACAAGTTCAGTCTCACTCATGAAGAAATGATATTTTTGCTACAGGCAAATAGCAATGTCTTGTTTTGGTGAATGAGGGACAGAGGTTAACACCATCCATCAATCAGGAGGAAGCTCCAGCTGCTCTGTCTTTGTTTTAAGTATCATTTGGAGATGATGTCACTTGTTGACAACTTCTTAAAGATTTGTCCACAGTAGGAAGTGGGTGATGTTGCCTCACTCCCGCTTCATTCCCCTGTCGCAGAGCAACACAGAGTCTGATGGCACCGTTTTGTTTGGACACACCCATTGTAGGGCTCAGCGCCGCCCCCCCCCCCCACCAAAAAAAAAGAAGAAAGGGATGATGTGGATGCAGTCAACCGAGAGGTGTGGTGTGAAATATTAGACAAAACAATCATCATGAGAGAGTAAATGTTAGAGGAGATGGAATTATTGAAAATGGATAAGTCACCAGAGCCAGCTGGACAGTTCCCCAGGAAGTTGAAGGAGATCAGGGAGGCAATACCAGATGCTGTGAGGATTAATTTGCAGACTTCACTCAACACAGGTGACGTGCTGGAGGGCTGGAGGAATGCAAATGAGGTTTCATTTTTCAAAAAAGGTACAAAGGAAATGCCAAACAATTATAGGTCAGTTGGTCTTGGTGATAGGCAAATTGTAAGAATCAATCCAGATGAACTGTCACTTAGAAATGCATGGACTAGTCAGGGATAGTCAGCATTGCTTTCAGGGAAGGTTGTGCTTAACAAATTTGATTGAATTCTTTGAGGATTTGGCAAGGAGGCTTGATATGGGTAGTGAAGTGGACATTGTCTGCATGGATTGTATTCAGGCATTTGACAAGATCCCATATGACATACTGGTCAAAGGTAAAAACCGATGGGATACAGGGTAATGTGTCGAATTGGATCCTCTGTTTCCAGTGCTTCTGACATCTTTCCAGTTGCAAGCTGTAGCAGGAGACTGTGAATGAAATTGTTTCAGAGCTGAGCAATTTTGATTATTCAGGAGCAAGTTTGAGCTTCTAGTGTTGTTTTCTGCTCATCTGTGAGAGATTGCATGATCTGGGGTTAGTGTGGCTCCTTTACTCTGGATCTGAATCCATGTCCTCATTGCTCTATTTCACCACTGCACTCCCAGATCTTCCCTATGACATTGTCTAACTTCCTCTGTCCCTGATAATGGTTGTGTTTTAACTCTGTTTTGTGTTTTACTGTTACTTTTGCTAATTGTGCCTAAATTAGGTTTCCACCTTGTCAGATACATTAGGGACCTTCAAGTGACTCTTGGATAGGCACATGGATGATAGTAAAATGTAGGGTATGCAGGGTAGTTTGATCTTAGAATAGGATAATAGGTTGGCACAACATCGTGGGCCGAAGGGCCTGTACTGTGCTGTACTGTTCTATGTTCTATTTCCCGCATTCCTGCTCTCACCCCTTCTGTTTTTGTCCTTTGCGCAAAGTTCATTTGAATTTCAGTACATCAGTATTACCTTTCCTCCACTTTCAGTGGCAAAACATCCTTTTAGCTCCATTCTTTGCAACATGTTCCCATAACTCCCTGTCCTCTCTGCTTCTCCTGCTGTCTTTTGCAGCATTCAAAAAAGCTTTATGCTTGACCTAGCTTTCAATCATCTTTCAATTTTCACCTTTGTGGAATTTTGGCTTTTTAATTTTTTGTTCGAATTATCTTCAACAATAATTGCAAATTTAATTGATCTAAATAAAACTGCCTAATTAGATGCTTGGACCATCTTAGACATCCAGCCACATGCACAGTGGTGATGTAATCAGAAGTCCAAAGAATATTGGTCCTTACTTTAAGGGGTTTGGAGTATTAGAGCAGGGAAGTCTTACTGAAACTAGTGAGATCACATCTGGAGTACTGTGAGCAGTTTTGATCCACTTATAAATAGAAAGACATCATTTTAGTCGAGACAATTCAAAGTTCACTAGGATGATCCCTAATATGGAGGGATTATCTTATGAGCGAAGATTAAACAGGTTGGAATTCTACTCACTGGAATTTAGAAGAATTAGAGCTAATCTCTTTGAAAGATATAAGATTCTGAAGGAGATTGACAGGGTAAATGCTTGGGAGGATGTTTCCCCTCATGGGAGAGTCTAAGAGCCAGAGAGCATAGTCTCGGAATAAAGAGGTGCCAGTTTAAGACAACACAGTGTGGAGCTGGAGGAACACAGCAGGCCAGACAGCATCAGAGGAGCAGGAAAGTTGACGTTTTGGGTTGGGCCCCTTGTTCAGAAATGTTGAGGGGGAAGGGAGCTGGGAAATAAATAGAGGAGGGGTGGGGCTGGGGAAGATAGGTAGGATGGTGGTAGGTGAGTGCAGGTAGGGGACAGTGGGGATTGGTCAGTGGGATGGGTGGGGCAGATAGGTGGGAGAGAAGATGGACAGGTTGTGTCAGGTGAAGGAGGCGGGGATTAGAGGGAGGGTTGGACACGGAATGAGGTGGTAGGTGGGGAGATTTTAAAACTGGTGAGTTCCATGTTTAGGCCATTGGGCTATAGCCTCCCGAGGTGGAAAATGAAGTGTTGCTCCTCCAGTTTGCAGGTGGTGTCATTGTGACACTAGAGGAGGCCCAGGATGGACATGTTACTCAGGGAGTGGGAGGGGGAGTTAAAATGGTTGGCGACTGGAAGGTGTTGTTGTTTGTCGCGTACAGAGCGCAGATGGTCTACACTTGGTGTCACCAATGTAGAGGAGGCCATGTCAGGAGCAGTGGATACAGTAGACCAAGTTGACGGATGTACAGGATGATCTCTCCCATCGACCAACCAGGTCATACCTACCACAGTGTCCACTTATCACTATCATTCTGTGTCTACCCCTTCCCCCACCCCACTTTATCTGCAGCTCCCTATCCCCACATCCAATCCTGAAGAAGGGTATTACCGGAAACGTTGACTGCTCCTTTACTCCAGATGCTGCCTGGCCTGCTGTGTTCTTCTAGCCTCCTGTTTATCTACCTAGGATTCCAGCATCTGCAGTTTTTTTGTCTCTAACAAAGAATATTAGCAACTCACCCTTTAAAATATTCAGTGACTCTAGCTCCACCACTCTCGGGGGGAAGAATTCCACAGGCTAACAACCCTTTCTGTATTTCCATTTTAAGCAGGTGACCTCTTATTTTTAAATTGCGTTCCGTAGTTCCATACTCTCCCACAAGGGGGCGTATGGCGTGCCTTGCTTCGTGCCGTTTGAAGCCAATTTTCCTCACAAACATAAGCAAACTTCCTTTTTTTTTCCAGTGTAGAATGGGCTGGAAATATAATTGTCGGCAGTAATGAGGGCAATTAAACCTAATCGTCATCATTCTTAATTACATTACATTTACTTTTTCACCTCCTTTTCCCTTTAATATTGATTAATCAATTGTTTATGGTCTTAATTCATGTTGCTGCCAGTTAAATTCATTTTGACTGATGGGCTCACTTGCTGATGGGATAGCTAATGGTTCTATAGGATGTTTTAGGCAATGTGTGCAATGGGTAATGAACATGTGCTATGTGCTTTGAGCTTTCATAGATCATAGAATCCCTACAGTGTGGAAACAGGCTCTTCAAACCAACAAGTCCGCACTGACCCTCAGAGCATCCCACCGAGACCCATCCCCTGTAACTCACCTAGTCTACACATCCCTGAATACTATGGGTAATTTAGCATGGCCAATCCACCTAGTCTGCACATTTTTGGACTGTGGGAGGAAACTGGAGCACCCGAAGAAAAGCCACGCGGGCACTTTCATTACAGACTGGTGCATTTTTATTTTAAAGAAAGTGTTTGCTTAAAAATGGGTAGTGGACATGTGCTATGTGCTTTGTGCTTTCATTACAGGCTTGTGCATTTTTATTTAAAGAAAGTGTTTGCTTAAAAGTCTCTTTTGCCTGGAAGGGATGTTTCTGACCATGTTAAGAATTAGAAGTAAATATTAAAACATTAATATTTTGGATTTAATTGCAGTAGTTAAGCAATTTTTGTTAACCTAATTAGGACATAAGCAGATTTTTCTTTGGAGGTTTTGGACAGTTTGGCCTCTGGCTATGAAAATATGGCTAAATGCCATTTTGTTCATCTTAATGGTTAACTATGAACTAAATTTTATTATAGAATGGATATAAATTAAATATTCCTTAGGGTCATCAGCTGTCTTCTCACATACTTTTATGTTCAAAATTGCTGTTGCATCTGCTATTTCTGAAAGAAATTCAGTCAAATGGACTGTTCTTCAGTTAATGTCTGTAATTGCAGAAAAAACAATTATGTCCCTGGGATAGAGCTGCATAAGCATTCAGTCCCAGGAATAGAATAGTTTTTCTGTTGGGGTGTATGGTAAACAGCTCTCTATTCTGCAAAAATCACTTGTTTCAAAAATGAGTTTGTGCAGATGTACATTTCCCACTTTATAGATTAGAAAAAGACTTGATGCGCTGGAGGTTTTATTTTCTAAGTGAAGACTGTAATTTATAATTTGGTGGCCATTGTTTCAGAGTATTTCCTATGCATTTTACCATTTAGTTATTTGATTTTTATTTATGAGGATCTGTTTATTAAGCACTATATATGTGCATTAAAAATCTATATTTTAACATAAGTCAAACATGTAGGGCTTATACAACTAGTGGTAGGGCCTTGGGTAGCGTTGTAGAACAGAGGGACCTTGGGGTTCAAGGACATAATTCTTTGACATTTGCATCTCATTTAGACAGGGTGGTTTTAAAAAAAAGTGTTTGGCATGCTCATCTTCATTGCTCAGACCTTTGAGTATAGGAGTTGGGAAGTCATGTTGAGGTTGTACAGGACATTGGTGAGGCCTCTTCTGGAATATCGTGTCCAATTCTGGTTGCCCAGTTATTGGAAGGATATTATTCAGCTGGAGACGGTTCAGAAGACATTTACCAGGATGTTGCCGAGTATGGAAGGTTTGAGTTACAAGGAAGGGCTGGGTAGGCTGGGACTTTTTTCATTGGAGCGTAGGGTGTTGAGAGGTGATCTGTTAGAAGTTTATAAAATAATGAGGGGTATAGATAGAGTTAAAGGTAATTGTCTTTTCTCTAGGGTGGGATATTTCAAGACTGGGGGCACATTTTTAAGGTGAGAGGACAGAGACTTAAAAAAGACATAAGGCAATTTTTTTACACAGGGGGTGGTTCATGTGTGGAATGAACTTCCTGAGGAAGTTGTGGTACAATTACAATGTTTAAAAGACATTTGGATAGATAGATGAACAGTAAAGATTTGGAGGGATATGGGCCAGGAGCAGGTAAGTGGGACTAGTTTAGTTTGGGATTATGGTCGGCATGGACTGGTTGGACTGAAGGGTCTGTTTCTGTGCTCTATGACTCTGACATTTTGCTGTGCTTTCATTTAACTGATCCACAAATATACTTCAAATGTAGGTACTATTGTTCGGATGTTTACTTGCCTGTACGTTTGCAACGCGAGGTCATAGGAAAGTTGGGTTCACTGCGTGCCTGTGTGATCCGTTCTCTCTACCACATGTACGAACCATTTCGTACGCGCATATCAGAAAAACCTGCAATTCCTGAGTCAACTCCAAATACGTTACAGAACTGTAGTGTAAGTCAAAACTTAACCCTTTGATATTTGCCATTGCTTGGTCCAGTGAACTTTGTTTAAATAAATTAGACACCTTTGCTTGTGATTTTTAAAAAGGAACTCGGAGGTTCTCTTCATTGGGTTAGTTTAACATCAAAATATTGCAAAATGCAGATTTTGTATTTTTATTTTGGATGTAGTTACAGAAATGACAGAATTTTGCTTGAGGAGGTTTAATTATTAAAAGCTAACATACTGAAAATAGTAAATGCATTAAAATGGCATTTTTTAAGTGTTGCAACTACAAAAATATCAATGGGGTGATTGATATATTGAACAGTGTATTTCCCTTTATATTCAGCATAAACATATACATTAGAGGAAGTGCATTGTGAGATACATTTAAAAACATGACTGAGTCATGCTTTTCCAAATGGAGTTAGCACTGAGCTTTGATTAGCTGTTTTGAGACACACGTCTTTAAAATTACACTACTTCCTAAATCTTTATTCATGAATGAGACACTTTATTGTTTTAATGCAGATGATTTGTTGGAACTTAAAACATATTCACTTTGCATTTTAATCAAGACAAAAACTTTTGAAATTATGATGCAGGGCTAACTTGTAGTAAAAGAGGCCAATTAAATTATACACGTCTTTACACTGATTAGTTACAAAAGTTTACCAATTTACAAAAGCTAACCATAAAACCATGCTCAACACATCTTTTAAGACCAATACATCTATTTTTAGTCATTTGCTTAACGAAAAGCATTGTCAGGTTTGCGCACTATTGTGCAGTTGCTAAAACTGAGTTTTTTTCATTTTAAGAATACAAGTTACTGTCTGATTAGTATGTGAATCTAACATTTTGCCATGAAGCACATCATATGTTCTGTTTTCAGTGCTTGCTGTACTGGTGCAAGAAGGGGACTGGAAATAGATCAGACCAAAGGTGGGAATTCAACTACAAATTCAAAAAACAGGTATGCCTTTGAGGTTTTGTTTTTAGAAGTCACAGAATCCCTGCAGTGTGGAAACAAGCCCTTTGGCCCAACAAGTCCACACCGACCCTTAGAGCATCCCACCTAATCTACACATGCCTGAACACTGGGGGTAATTAAGCATAGCCAATCCACCTAGCCTGCACATCTTTGGACTGTGGGAGGAAACAGGAGCACCCAGAGGAAACCCACGCAGACACGGGAAGAACGTGCAAACTCTACACAGACAGTTACCCTGCGGTGGAATTGAACCCGGGTTCCTGGCGCTGTGAGGCAGCAGTGCTGATCACTGATCCACTGTGCCACCATTTTTATGATTAATTTGTTCTAAATCAGGTATAATTTCATTTTTTTTTTGTGTTCTTTGTTGTAATATGCAGATTAGGCCCCTTAAGCCTGCTCCACCATTCAGTAAGATCGTGTTTGATCTGATTGCGGTTTCACTTCACTTTCTTGCCAACTCCAATATCTGATGACTCCCTAGTTAGTCAAAAAGCTAGCCATTTCTGCTTTTAAAAATATTAATTGCTCTTTGTGGAAGAAAGTTCCACAGAATCGAAACCTTCTGAAAGTAAAAAAACTTAGATCTAAAATGAGGCAATCCTTATTTTTTAAATTCTGTCCCTAGCTCTTGACTCCTGCAAGGGTAAACATTTTTTTTACCGTCTGTCCTGTCTAGTTCCCTTTATGATCTTGCATTCTTCAATAAGGTCAACAGCCATCCTTCCATACAGAATACAGGTCCAACCTGTAACTTGTCCTCGTAAGATGGCCTTATATTCCTGGAGCCTGTTGATTGAACTTTTTCTACATCTTATGATCTTTAAAACTGCATAAACACATCTCTACTTTTGTATTCTATTCTCCTTGAAGTAAACAACATTACATTTATTAATCACTAGCCATACCTGAAATTAAGATTTTGTGATTTGTGTCACATTTCTATAATCTTTGTCAAATACAGTATGCTGCTTTTTTTTATTTTTGAACCAAAGCAGACCGGTTCATATTTTTCCACATTATACTTCATCTGCCAGATTTTGTTCCATTCATTTATTTATATCCTTTGCAGACTTCTTATGATTGCTAGTAGAGCCTGCAGCACTCAGCCCTCTGGCACTGCACTTGTTATACCTTAGAAAACTGTAATGACCCACTTATACCTACTGTTTCCTGTTTCCTGACCAATTCTATAGCCATTCTAACACGTCATGCCTAATAGCATTTGATGCTGCACCTTGTCAAACACCTTCTGGAAATCCAAGTACCCCCCCATGATAGGTTCCCTTTAGCCATGTTGCTTGTTACTTCCTCAAAGGCGTCTAGTCAAATCCAATTTCCCTCTCTCAAAAACCCATTTGCTGTTCTTGATTGCTGTAATTTTTCAAAGTTTTGATGTGCAATACACTTTCATTTAAAATATCTGTGTTCTGAGTTCTTAATTTATAACAATAGGGTCCTTAACTGTGCTTGATCTAATAAACTGCAGTACCTTTGAACAACGTAGAACTTATTAAACAGGATTTTATCAATACCTAACACCTATATTTTGGGAGATTTGTGATCACAATACCTAATAATAGGTGGTCACCCATTTGTAAAGAATTTTCAGACAGTTTATTAAGTTTGCTAAGCTGAAGTTTAGAAACGATGCATTTATTAAATTAAACAAAAGATACAACCTTTGACAATGAGGATGCTTCATTGATACCAGAGGACAAACCGGCATATGGCATGGTGAGTTGTTCTGAAGGCAGAGTTCTGCTTTCTCGCTGAAATGCTGGGGTTCCCTGGGACTTCACTCAATCTCTTCTGGTCTATTTGAAGAAAACCGTGCTCTACTAAGGACTGTCGCTGACAAAGATTGTGCGATGAGGACTGTCCTCTGATCCTGAACGCATGTTTATGAACCTTAGTAGGGGCTGGTAGTTAATGCTGTGTCAGTTACCAATTTGAACGTTTCTAGCCAATGACATAAGACAGCTACCCTGATATCAAAATAACCTTTCCCTGCTTCCCAACCTTCATCTGAAGGTTAGTTTCATTCTTTGAAATTTTTACTGCATTGATTAAAAAGATACAAATGGTGCCATTTAATTCTTTGTCAAGTTATGGAACATGTCACTTTTTTCTTTTGTCTTGTTGATTAGAAGTTCTGTATGTTTGGGGAAAGCAAGTAACTGCTGTAACAACAATTAAACAATTTCTCAAACTAGACAAGAAATACTTGAAAAATTCAGTTTTAGAAGCATTGAGTATAGGAGTTGAGATGTCACGTTGCAGTTGTACAGGACATTGTTTAGGCCACTTCTGGAATACTGTGTTCAGTTCTGGTCACCCTGCTACAGGAAAGATGTTAAACTTGAAAGGGTTCAGAAAAGATTTACAAGGTTGTTGCTGGGATTTGAGGGTTTGAGCTATAGGAAGCTCAAATAGGCTGGGGCTATTTTCCCTGTAGTATCGGAGGCTGAGGGGTGACCTTATAGAGGTTTGTGAGTGGCATGGATAGGGTTAATTGCCCAAGTCTTTTCCCTGGCATAGGATAATCCAAAACCAGAGGGCACAGGTTTAAGGTGAGAAGGGGAAGATTTAAAAGAGACCTGAGGGGCAACATTTTCACAGAGGGTTGTGGGTGTATTTAACCAGCTGCCAGAGGATGTAGTGGAGGTGGGTACAATTACAACATTTAAAAGGCATTTGGATGGGTATATGAATAGGAAGGCCTAAGAGGCACGTCAGCCAAATACTGGCAAATGGACCTGGAACAGTTCAGGATATCTGGTCGACGTGGACGAGTTGGATGGCAGGGTCTGTTTCCATGCTGAATTACAATGATTCTGACCCCAGTTTTTAGTGCTTGGTATATTGTTCTTGAGTATAAATCCTAAACTGTTTTGCTCTGAGAACTTCAAATAGACATTTTAATGACTTTCTCCAGTTTGCTGTTAGATCAACAGGTTTGTGTAATAATGAGTGCTTGAGACTTAAAATCCAAATTTGCAAAATATTAGCTGATCTTCCTGTTGGCTTTACTACTTCGGGACTAAGAGGAAAAATCATCCCGTAGAATTTCTATTTCTGATAACTAGTGATACACTGTATTGATATACTATTGATGTAACTGTTCAGAAAAGTTTGGTTTTATCTTCCAAAATTTGCTGTCAAACCGTTATTCCCATATTACAGTAGATGATCTAGAGTTTTCAATGGGAACGATTTGGTTTTAAATGATTTGGTACATGTATACGTCTTAATTTATGTCCTTCAGTCTCCCAAGTTGAAGAATGGCTCTCGAAATGGGCTTCAGTTTCCAAGACAGTATGAAGAGGTACACACGAATCCTGACCAAGACTGCTATTTGCTGCAGATCACCACTCTCAATTTCATCTTCACGCCAGTGGTTATGGGAATGACTCTAGCATTGGTAGGAGCATTTCAATATTTCAAAAGTGAATTCCAAAGCTAAATAGTTTGCATAACAAAAGCTTTTATATTAAGAATTGGTTTTGTTTCCTCCATTTGTCTCCTGTTAAATAACATATTAAACTGTTTACACTTTCGAGGATAGTTTGAGGAAGGGCAATTATTACAGGAGAATCTGGCTATTTTTCAATGATATGTTGTCCTTCTTAATCACCTAGTCCAACTCTGTGTCTTAACTCTTGACCAATTTTTTCTTCAGGTTATGAGATAACTGGGAAAATCGTAAATTCCTATAGTGGAAAAACATCATTACACGTGGAATTGAAAGTACTTGATTCATCCTAACTTTTAAAAGTTTTGCTTAATGTGACAGTTTTATTTTCTAGATGTTATAGCTTCTCTCTTCATACTAAAGCTGCTTATTTTAAAGAAGGACATCCTGTCAAAATGGATTTGGTAATTGCAAGCTTGGAAAATGTTCTTATTTTATCAACTGTGAGCATAAAGGATTAAGAATAGAACATTAAATGGCTAACAGGTGTCAAGCACACCCAAGTGCTTGAAATATTGTTTTGTTTAAGCTAATTTGAACTGTGTATTGCCTTTATTCATAAATAATCTTTATAGAGAATTAATCTGCTTGCCACTTCAGTCTGCTGTGGAACTTGTCCAATGTGACTAAAATGTATCTTGTAGGATTTCTATTTTGTATCACTATACATGTAATCTGAGATTGTCATTTGGTAGGTCAAAACTTTTATACTGTTGATAAAGACACATTTTGTTGAAGCTTTAAATCCTGCACTCATCAGGACAATTCCCAAGGATACCAGTGTAAACAATAATAAGGTTATTGTGTATGAGAAGTGCATGCTGATTGATTTAAGAGCATATATACCCACTGCACCTGGATTAAATGAACAAAATAGGTGACGGCCATCCTATTGTTACTCTGAGGTATGGATCACTCAATCAAAGTAAAAACCTTGGTAGTTAACTGTCATTCATTTAACTGGTGCATTCTTCATAGCATGCCTCTACCAATCAGGACCTATTTACCAAGGAATCAACACGTTTTTCTTGTATGGTATGAAATGGTTGTGCCCCTTTACATTGGTATTCTTACAAATTGTCTTGCAGAATGCAAGATGGAAAATGTCAACAAATACATCATATTTCAACAATAATGTGAGATTATTGCAGGTTCCTTATTTGTCTAGGGCCCACAATTTGTCAGAATATTTATGGTTCCTTCAGGGGAAACATAGTGTTCTTATTGGAGTAGACTTCTGTGCTGTTCTTTAGAGAAAATAGCTGTGGAAGCTAAAATCTCAGCAATTGATCTATGTTTTGAAAGAATAATCGCATTGCCTCTGAAATTATTTTATTAAACCTGTATTCAGCAGAATGTATTGGAACACTATCTTCCTTTATGATATGACAAGTCATACAGATTTTTGTTGCATTACAACAGTGACAATCTCAGGGGTATTAATTGACTGTTATACACTTTGGGGCATTCTGAGATTGTGAAAAGCATTATAGATTGTGTCATTTTCTTTTCTCTTGCAGTTTACAATAAGTGTAAGCACTGATATGAGGCACCACCGTGTCAGGATGGTGTTCCAAGATTCTCCACTTCCACATGGAAAGAAACCGAAAAAGGACCAAGGACTCCAAGTTGTCTTGGACCCTGTGCATAGTGTGCGCTTACTCGACTGGTGGCATCCACAGTTTCCCTTTTCTGCCAGTATTTAGTGTTGTTTCACAACATCATATGAAACTGCTGACACAGATTGGGTTTTGAAAAGTGTTTTGCGTGATGGACACAGAAAATAAGTTCAGTCTTAAGAACAGTGGTTTAATGCATTTTGAGATTTGTATGTTTGTGTTTATCAAGGTAGGATTAGCAATTGAAGTATTGAGGTCAAAAGCTCAAGTATTGACACTAATTGGAGTAACAGATCTGAGAAACAGAGAAAAGTGACCTTAAAGTAATTTATATAAAGACACTGTTCAACACCACAGCTTGCTTTTATTTTATATTGTAGAGTGTATAAGATGTGGTGTCGGCCACTTTTGACTTGGAATGTATGAAGTTGTTTTTCTAACTCTTGCAGTGATCTACAATGGACAGGACACTTGCATACATTTGCCTCTCACTTAGAGTGCGATCATACAATGCATTATTCATATTTAGTCTAAATGACAACCAGTATAAAAATACTGTGTCTGTAAAATGTTCTACTAAAGACTGTTGTAAAATAGGTTGCTCAACTACCTAGAAACAGTGCTGAGTTTTTGCTAAGGGCATTAAATTTAGCTCAGGTTAAAATCACTGTCTCAGATTGTTATGATTCATGAGAAAAATTAGTCTTCGCAGTCAATTTATTGTCGAGAAAATATATGCATGAACACTTTTAATTTGAGACCATTTTGCCCTAGGGCCTCCCACCATTTTAATTCTAAAGAGTCAGAATTGGACGAAATTGAAAACAAGTCTTTAGTGATATATCTGTGGGGCATAGATTGTTCACCAGATTACACCTGGAGAAGGGACACTTGGTTGGTCACTGTCAGCTTTAGAAATGTTCAAAAAGATTTTTAATTGTAAGGAAGTAGACTTTAACATTACCCACTCTCAGAAATAATTGGTCAGTTATTCCCACTTTTCATGAAGCACAATGGAGGACAGTTTGGAACTTCAACAGTGATTTAATTGCCATATGGATTAATTTGACAAATTGTCTTATCTCATGATTGTAGGTAGGATGGAGGGGTGACAAATATTTATTGATCTTTGCTCAGAAAGAAAGGTTAAGTGTCAAGTTTTACTTACTGTCACTGGACAGGAATTATTGAGAGTGACTGATATGTATACAGTCTGAGAAATGCTGATTTTTGTTTAATGAAACACTTTCAGAATCTTCAAAATAACTAAACTTGTAAGTTACAAATCTTATTTCAACTGCAAAACTGTTGCTTGGTGCAGTATGTTATTTGAATAGGAAAACCTACTGTCTTAAATCCTCAAGACTAAACCATGAAAACTTGGTGGCAAGTTAGTATTCTGATTATCTAATTTGGAATGTTATTTGACATGCTATTTAAATGAAGTAAAATGAATTAATTTCCAAGTTGGCATTACATTTGTAAACAAATTTGTTTCTGTTGGCATGGAATTATGAAATTCAAAAATAATCATTGAAGGTGATATCGTGGATGAAAATAATTGTTTCTAGTCAAAAAATTTGAAGACAAAAAGCCATTGCTTTCTGAAGCAAAACTGATTTATGCACAGAACAATTTCAGCTTGCTTGAGTTTAATAATACAAATGTTTCAGTGTAGTCTGAAACTTGCAAAGTAATATTTGTATCCCAAATGACCATTTAAGCCAATGTGTGAAAACGTGAGTTGAATTATTTTGAGTCTGTTATTTGTGTTAGAGCCAATGTAGTTTCTGATTCTGTTCTTAAAGCTTTATTTCTAACTAAATATGTGTAAACAGCATATTGAACGATAACTTTAATTTGTGGGTTGATTATAGATAGTGGTCCCAAACAAACTCGCATGTATTTATGCCCATGCAGACTCTGTCTGTTTAGGAGAAACTATTTGGCCATTGCTATGTTTAAACTCAATGAACATGTTCTTAAAATTACTGTACCAACTTTCTACTTATGATCTCTTGACTCAGATTTCTCTTTGTTACTGTAAGTAACTTCCCTGAGACTGATATTTAAATGAAAGCGGCTTGAATAGGGCAAAATGTCAGTGACAGTCTTATTTTTAGGTGATAGCTCTTAACGCATAGGCTGTAAATTGAAGCTATGCAATTTTCAGCTGGGAAAGATAAAATATTGATCAATTAAAATGGCACAGCACAGCTGAAAACTGTTGAAAGTCTTTGTTAATATAGAATTCATGCCAACAGTGTAATTCTTGTATTTAATTTTTCTTGTAAACATACTAAACATTTAAACATAAGCCCATTTTTGGTGAAATGTTTGATTGCTCATACATGCAGGTACTTTACAGCAAAGAACAGGGCACAAGCTTTAAATAATTCGGAGAATTCAACTTGCAAGTATTGAAGTTTTAGATTAAGTGAGAACCTGGCCCCCAAGTGTAGTGCTATTTCCAAGATATTCAAATAAGTTATCTGAATAATATATTTAAACTGGTTTAAATTTAAACTGAACTTGCTTCTTTGAAGAAATTTTCCAGTTGCTTTGATGAAATGTCTTTCTAACCTGAATATTATTGTGCTCATCCATTTTTGCACATCAAATAGGAAGACTCAATTTACTGCTTTGTAGCCATGAGATTTGTTTTTAAACAGCTTACATGTTGGTGCATTTTGAGGTAACAAGAGGGCATATTTGTACTGTTAAGTTTCTGTGACATAGCATTCCAGGTTTTCTACCACTTTGGCCTTTGAGTTGAGATTTAGCATTTTCAAAACCATAAAACACTCATTCATTTTTTTCTTAGTTTGGGGAGCTGTTGGGAGGAATGTAATTAAGTATGATCATTAAAAAAACCAAAAATAGATTTCTGGGAAGTTGCTTTTAATGCCTGTGCCCATTTAAAATTGAGATTTTTACACTTGTGGAAATAGTCCTTTTCAATAAGTAGTCTTGCTGTAATTTAATGTTTAATGTATATACTCAGTGGACAGAAAAAATGTGGGTGAAATACTTTGTAGACCTTGGTTGTTGATCATCTAATAATTCAGCAGGACCTACTTATAGTGAGGCAGAAATCCATGAATTGATCAACCTGTTCGATTTTGCTCACAATGTATTGCTTCTGTACTGTAAAATATCAGTTAAAATCTACTGAAGTATAACCTGGCTCCATCAGCTGGACTTTGCAAGTAAATGTTTAGCCTGAAGTAGGTTGTCATCTAGTGAGCTTGATTGCCTGAAGTCATTTCTTGGATTTGCTTCTTTCATAATCAGAGATTGTACTGTTCATTTTTTTTAAACTAAGATGCATTTTACAAAAGTTGAACTGATTCTGTACAAAACGATATCATTTTCAGAAGGAATAGATTGCATTTTTACATGGTGTATAATTTCATGAGCCCAATAAAGCTTGCGTCAGATTGTGTGAACTTGTAAGTTCTTTTACTTTTGTTACAACATATCATCTGTCTCAGTAGAGCACAGCATTTCATTGGAAGTAGTCCTGATTCCCTACTGGGGGAAAAAAATGCCTTTACAAAGTTCAGGGACTACGTCATGTTAAAATGTTTTGTTTTTCAAATTTTGTTAACATTAAATTTTTCGTGCATTTGAAAGAGAGAACGAATGTTTTCAAATGAGAATGGGAGAGAAAATTCAAATTTGCAAGACAAAAACATTTGACCATGTAAATTTACTTTGATTGCTGTTGTGCAAATTCATCACAACAGTTGTCACCTGCCTTCAATAGCAGTGTGAAACAATATTTCATTAGTGTTTTATAAGTGCACATATTTGAATAAGCATTTTATGATCAGTTAAAGAAAGTGATCCTTAGGTGGCAGACTGGTATTGTTTCCAATAACTTGTCATCTACAGATCTTAAAATTTGATTTTATAGTTGTTTCATTGAAAAATTGGGGTCAGTTAGTACAGTTAGCTGGACAGCTGGTTTGTAATGCAGAGCGATGACAGTAGCATGGGTTCACTTCCCGCACTGGCCGAGGTTACCCTGAAGGACACTCCTCAACCTCTCCCCTGAGGCCTAGTGAACCTTGGGTTTAACCACCACCAGTCATTTCTCTCCAGTGAGACAGCAGCCTATGTCTGGTAGGACTATGGCGACTACTTTTTATTGAAAGATTTCAGAGGACAGTCCATTAATGAGAGATTATTGGGTGTGTTGTGCAACAAACCGCAGGAACTAATATGGCCATCTGCTCAAATGAAGTTTCTCCAGTCTGAAGTATCCAGTCACCTCATACCCAACAGATGTGTTATTAAGTTGCTGTAAAATTTACAGAAGTTTTGTTCTTTGATATATTTAACGTTTGTCAGGCGATCAGTAGGTTTATGCAAGACCAAAGCCTTAATGTCAACACTTTTTCCAATGTTCGATCAGTGTTCTCAGTTCCCACTCCAAACTACATACCCTAACTATTGACTATGCCTCTTCTTGGCATCAATCTGTCATTAAAACATAGAATCATAGAACAGAACACTACAGTGTGGAAGCAAGCCATTCAGCCCATCAAGTCTACCAAGTCCACACTGCCCCTCCGAAGACCATGCCACCTAGACCCAACCCCCTATCCTATCCCTATACCCCTGCATTTCCCATGGCTAATCCACCTAGCCCACGCAACTCTGAACACTGTGGTATCTGTTTGCACCATTAATGCGCCATTTCATCCCAAGATGAGCTTCTGACTTTGTGTTCCTGCTTATTTTCACCCCCAGTTCCAATTTGCCCCAGTTAAAAGCTCATTTTTTGCTGAATCCTGTATTCGTGCCTTCATTACCTCTAGACTATTCCCACTGTGCTCTTCACTGGTCTCCCATGCTCTACCTTATGTAAGATCTTTAATGTTTCTGATGAATCCAGGAATAGTGGGGCTTGATTTCCAGTGTGATACCTTGTTGAGGCGTAACACAGCAGACTTGGGGGCTAAAACGCCTGCTGCTGCTCCTGACTCTCCTGTTTATATGTTCTAGTAAATGTAAATCGGTTGTGTTATGAACTCTGATTATGTTAAATTGTGGTACTCTAGCTACTGACGCACTGAGTATTATTTAGTAAGTGCTGCCCAGTTGTGCAATCATAACGAACGGTTTGTTTTTGGTTGTGCAAATACAGGCTGATTCAGTACAATGTGCTTATGAGCAACTGAAGTAACAGGCTGTTTGATTTCATGAGATAGTTGGATGTGCAAACTATGCGCTATGTGAAATTCATACATGATATTGCTCAATGGTGTGACAAGCAGAAGGTCATTTTGGACTGACAGCAGCGTCATGTTGATGGAAATTATCGCTTGCATAGACAGTGCATGGTAGCAGATTTTGCCAAACTTATGTTGACATCATTTGTAAGTAAAGTTCAGAACTGAGAATTAGAAGTTACTGTTTTAAGAAAAGCACGTAGGAAGTTTCAGTTAAAGAATCCCAGCTTTTCATGAACTGGCACAAATCAATAGCCTTATTATAAACAACACTTTTTCTAATCAGTGTTGTGTATTTCTTAGAGCATCGATTAAAAATACAAAAGATATTTTGGTAATTTATTTCTTAATTTTTTTTCAGATTGTGTTAGTGTAGTGTTCACCAGCAAAAGGAGTATATAATCAATTCTGGTTTGCAATCTTGAAAGCAAAGTAATGGCATTGTTTCTCACTGTTTTGCACTTCAATTGAGTAGACTTAGTTTAAACATTGTTTCTGAATATTTAATTTCAAAGTTTCATCTATGAGGAAGCACAAATATGAGGAAAGACTCAGAATTATAGAATGGTTATGCTGCAGAAGAGAAACTGTTTGTTTATGTCTGTGCTGATTTCTCTGAAGGAAGAATTAACCTAGTCATACCCTGGCCTTTTTCCCCCATAGCTCTGCTGCTTGTTTCCTTTCAAATAAATAAGTCAATTCCCTTTCTGAAAATCCCACCAGACCATTTTTCTATCACATACTCAGGCAGTGCATTCTAGATCCTTGCCACTTAGTTTTTTAAAGAGAAGTGTTTTCCATACGTCCCCATTGATTCTCTATCTGGACCAATTGGAGCAGTTTAATTTTATATACCTTTATCAATTCTCCTCCTCGACCTTTACCAAGGAATGCAATCAATCATTCTACATAACGGAAGGTTCCTCATTCCTGAACCCATTCTCATGAATCTTCTGTGCTGCTTCTGATGCCTTCATATCTTTCCTGACATGTGGTGCCCAGGACTGAACATGATACTCCAGTTGAGGTCAATCAGTTTTTTGCATGGGTTTAAAGTTGCTGTTGTACTCTGTGCCCCTAATGATTCAGCCTAGGATGCCATGTGTACATACACGGCCAGATCCCTCTCCTGCTGGACCCTCGTCAAAGCTATACCCTTTTATAAAAACTGCCAGTTCTGAGAAAGGGTCACTGGACCCGTAAAGATAACTCTTGATTTTTCTTCACAGATGCTGCCAGACCTGCAGACTTTTCCAGCAACTTCTGTTTTTATACCCTTTTTTATGTTGTCCTTCTACTGTCCTTATGAAAAGGTATCACTTTATACTTCTAAAGCCATTCTTACCCTATTCTCTAGCCAACCTAAACCTTATGATACAATGATCATTGATATACAAACTTTTAAAGAGCCCTAAGGGGCAACTTTTTCATGCAGACGGTGGTGTGTGTATGGAATTAGCTGCAAATATTTAGAAGGCATCTGGATGGGTACACGAATAGGAAGGGTTTAGACGGATATGGGCCAAATGCTGTCAAATGAGACTAGATTAATTTAGGATATCTGTTCAGCCAAGACAAGTTGGACCGAAGGGTCTGTTTCCATGCTTGCAACTCTGACACTTGATACACTTGACCCATCTCATTTGCAGGAGCTAAGTCCAGGATCATTTCTGTTGCAGGGGAGAAAGACAGACTGGACTCTTTGTTCTTCTTTACAAGAACTGAGCAGTATAATTTATAAAAGACTTTAGTATAAAGTTAATTTTAAGTGTCACAATAAAGTTGATTTTTAAAGCAGCTAACTCTCTTACATTTAAACTACATTCTTTCCTCATTGATTCCCAGAGTGATCTTGTGCAACTTCATGTGTATGCACACAGGAGCGCTATAATAAAGAAAGGAGTTTCACATTTATGAATATTAAAATACCAGTTTTGGTAAGTCCTCTCAAAGTTTTGGTTGAAAGTTGCAAATAATGTATGTAAGTAGTGCTGTTATTACCAGCGGAAATAAATTGCAAAACTAAATAAATCACTAAGTGTTGAGGTTGGATGGCTCGCTGAGCTGGTTTGTTGGTCCCCAGATGTTTCATTACCATGCTGGGTAACATCATCAGTGCAGCCTCCGATGAAGCGTCGGTGTGTTTTCCCGCCTGGTTTTTAAACTCTGGAGTCCGTTGACCTGGATTGCCTCACTTCCGGTTTTCCTTCGTAGTGGAGCGTAAATGGGGTTGAGTTCTATGTGTTTATTAATGGCTTGCTTCGTGGAGTGCCAGGCTTCTAGGAATTCCCATTGCCAGTCTCTGCTTAGTTTGTCCCAGGATTTTGGTGTTGTCACAATCAAATTGGTGGTTCTCCTTGTCCATGTGGATTGAGATGAGTGAGTATTGATCGTGTCTTTTTGTAGCCAGTTGGTGTTCGTGTACTCTTGTTGTTAGTTTCCTTCCTGTTTGTCCGATTGTAGTGTTTCTCACAGTCTCTGCAGGGGATGTTATAGATGACATTGGTCCTGTCATTGGCAGGGAGTGGGTCTTAAGTTCGGGTGAGCAGTTGTCGTAGGGTTGATGTGGGCTTTTGTGCCACTCTGATGCGCAGCGGTCATAGGAGTCTTGTGGTTAGTTCCGATGTATACACTCCACTACGAAGGAAAAACCAGAAGTGAGGCAATCCAGCTCAACGGATTCCAGAGTTTAAAAACCAGGTGGGAAAACACACCCACGCTTCAACGGCGGCTGCACTGATGATGTTACCCAGCAGGGTAACGAAACGTCTGTGGAACAACAAACCAGCTCGGCGAGCTAACCAACCGCAACACCCACAACCCGAGCTACAAATCTACTCCAAAATCACTAAGTATAAAAGAAATACTGAACAGTTAGGTATTTCAGGATTTTTGCAGAAAGTAACTTTAAACATTTAGCAGAGATGCTGTACATGTCTAAATTTCTACATTCATAAATAAATTAGCCTTTAAAACAAATGTTGGTAATATAGAATAAATACAGTGTAGTTACCATAGATATTTTCTAATCAACAGTTAGAGATATTATTACTCATCTCTGCAGCAGGTGAAAATCCTGGTTTAGAGGTAAGGACACTGCCCTGTGCTGCAAGGAGCCTGTGTAATTACTACATACATTTTCTGTGATCAACCTGTTCAGAAAGAAACAATGAAGAACTGAGGAGTCTGCTGGAAATCTGAAACAAAAC